CTGTAGCTCACAAGGCACTTTCCATTTCTAAGAGGAGATATTACACAAGACAAACGCAATCTGCCCTATGGATTTTGCTTTGCACCTTTTAAAGTCCTCACACGAGCCACAGCTCCAAAAGCAATTAATTTCATGTGGTCCCTGTTTTCCTCTTGTGCCTACTCTCAAAGTCCAGTATGTAGCTAAACAAATAAAAAACAGTAATACAAACAGACACCACCACCCCGTTCACTTAAGATGTAAAGCTGCTCTTAAAGTATTATTGCAGAGGAAGAGAATACCAGATCTTCCCAAATGGCTGTCCCCCCTAAATTGTCTTCTGCAAACTAGAATGTGATAACATCTTTTTAAAAGGACTTACTCCAAATTTTGCAATATCTGCTAGTACTTTCTTTTTGTCTGTAAATCAGTTCTAAAATTTTAGGGCCCTGTGAAGTCATGATATACAAAAAAATTAGTTTCAACCGAAATGATCGTGTTTTGCAGTTCCCACTGAAAGTAAAATTTCTCCTCAGCTACAGGAAATTAACATGCATATCTTCATTACAGACATTCATAAACCTAACCAACCTGAAGACCACAGAAACCAACAAGCTTTTCAGTTGACCATCTTATAAGCAACAGACATAACTCATGGTAGTTGAACTCCCTAGCCCAAAATTATACTTTTCCAAGCTTGATAAGCAGTATCCTAGTAGCTTCTCAAAGGCTTTAATATTCCAAATCTCATCACAATTTCCCTTTTTTTTTTTTTCTTCCCCAGGCCCCCAAAATAACTGGGAACATGAAACTGATGAAGAAATACTTTGCATATCAGACAGAAGTCATATTATTGTGATTCATGATGCTATCACTATCTTTTAGACAAGACACTACATCTTTATTTCCAGAAAACCTACTACAGGAACGTTGCAGAAAACAGACAACTCATTTCTATTCCGCCAATCTGGACTCTTTTAGAGGAATTGCCTCATCTACTCCATGTTCATGAATTCTCAGAATTGTTTCACCTTTTTCAAATGTCTATTTTTTAACATTACCACATAATTTTCTCACAGCAGACAGTGTCACCAAGACCACTAACAGGAGCTCTAAACATTCCACCGTTAATCAATGAATACTTCAGTGTGGCTTAACGTTGTAATAAGTTGCCACTGTTGTAAGATCTAAAATCATCTTTGTTGTACAAATTCAAAATCACAAACATGATTTTTATTCTGTACCAAGGGAGGTGAAAGCATCAACCACTAGCTCAAATGGGAGTATTCAGATGCAAATATGTGTACATACTGTTAGTACCTATGACAAGCAATAATGATTGCTATTAGATTTCTTAAGAACAATCTCTGAGCTCAAATGTCAGATAGCTTCACTTGTTTAGCAATACATCTGGTAATATAAAACTTAAGTACTGAATTGACTTAAGTTGCCTCTGAGATACTAGATGGAAAATGTCAGGATACAAACTACTTAAACCTTAAGAAATAGATCGACTGCAACCTCCAGTTACTCAGTTTCAATATTTTATCCTCATTTATAGCATCCTAAATTAGTTAGGAACTGGCAGACACCTGAAATTCACCATGCCTCAACATGAAATAAAATTATAAAAGTCTAGGCTATCATCTTATCTCTCAAGTTGGTTTAAGTTCAGTCAGTAACTAGATAGGAGACTACTGAAAAAACCACAGAATGATATGTGAAGAACAGAAGTAAAAACCAGTCTGTCAAATTCAGTGCAACATTCACATCCCAACACTGCTGTAGAAGATCACTGTACAACCAGGAGATTCAGCTTTTCAGAAAGCAAACATGCTCTTATGTATTTCACAAGTGTAAAAACTACATAGCACTTTTTGCTTATTAAGTTCTTAACATTGATGACTTAACTGACATGTACTAGAACTCTGCCAGGGTAAGTTATCCTAGAATTGTAAGTGAATACACAGTTTTTCAAATCCTCTTAAGCTCTTACATAATACTGTTATGTGTATTAAAACAACAGCTACTTTACATTATTACAGAAGCTGTAGCATTCCAATTAAGTGCTTGAGAGTAGTGTGACAACGAAGATGCACAGAACCTCGTAGGTTAGTAAAGTTAAGAGTTTATGCATTTTAATATCGGTATATTCGTCATAAACTGCAGTTCAGCCCTACATGCATAAAGCAGTGTCCCTGATCTGAACCATGTTTCATTGGTTTCTTATTTTAAGACATAATCAGAAAACACTATTAAGTAGGAATGGACAGAAATTCATTGAGAAGTTTTACACCTACAGCATTTCAGTGGAACTTTGAAAGCAGACAAAAATCTAAAGTAGTGCATTTTTTCATGACACACACACATTCTGAGGAAAATAAAGCTAGCTGCACCAGGATATTGTGCCCTTGAAAGCAAGGCAGGCAACAAAGGAGGACAAAGGCACAACTTTGGCATTACAGTTGCTAGTGGGATAAAAAGGGCAATGATATACTGAAGGTGTAGACTGCAAAAGAATTACTCAAATATGATACTGAAGGCAGGGAGTTGGAGCCTTAGAAGAGACCAAGTTGGTCAGAACAGCGCACAAGGAAGATGACTACCACAAGTACAGGAGTATCTGCAGTAGCATCTTAACATGTATACTCTTAACATGCTATTTGTTTAAAATAATCAGAAATCAGACTATGTATCTACAGTGCAACCACCCACACCACATGGGAATATTAGTTCTCATAGTAAGATGATTCAAGGAACATCAGTAACCTGTACAGAAATTTCAGGATCCAAAACTCAATCTGTACTTTCTTTCTTCTCTATTGTGTAAAAGAAAGAAACCCCCAGTTTACCACTAAGTCCACTTAAGATGTCATCTTCCCTTTTCCTTGTTTTTGTTGGATGCCTCAGGTGTGGATCACAAAGATTCCCTTAAAAGAGCCAGATAAACAAGCTGTCTTGGATGATACCTTGCCTACCAGGCACTACTCCAACATTCAGGTTAGCTTCTCTTCCCAATCACTTAAAAAATCATGCCATCATTCTACCACTTTTCTGGTCATTTAGAACATTCAGGAAAAACATGAGACAAGACTAGACTTTCTCCTCAGATTTTATTGTTAAGACCTCAAATCTGGATTTTTTTTTCCATCCACTAGAAGTAAAAGGGGCAATTATTAGTCTAATTTAAATTAACATTTCAACATGTTCCACAAAGTAAAATTTTATTGCCTTATGTAGCAATGACTGTTAGCTCTTATAAGTTTGTTTCAGATTCCTTCTTTCTAAGGGTCAGCAATAGTACAAAAATAACTGCTAGCCGAATTCCCACTTTCTGTGATACACTTACAGCTATCAAAAAAACCTACCATTCATTAACCCAGTTCCTAATGGTGCATGCCTTGCAAGAACTGCTTAGTTCTAACATAATAAACGTGTGCTTGTAAACACTTTCGTATAGATTTCATTTTGCTGAGTTTTATTAAACTGGTCCTTCCCCAGAGCCTAAAGATCTAAATATATCTGTAATAAACAACTGCAAAAAGCAGCCTATATGACTAAGTAGTGACTGCACTACAGAGGGCAGGCGTAAGCAGATTTGCATGCAATTCATTCATGCTAGATGGCTGTAAATCATACAATACACTTCAGCTGCTCCAGGAACTGCAATGGTACCGTTGAGGAAAACACTTCTTTGTATATCTACTCTTAACAAGCTCCTGAAAGCAAGATGATCAGTAAGGAACTATCTATGCATAAGCAAAAACCCAAAGCGTTTTATATTTCCGTATCCCATGTAAAGCTTTCTCTTTCACAGGTGTTCCCGCATCACTTACCAATAAAAATATCCAATTTGAAAATAGGTCACATTTGTCGCCAACCATCCTCAGGCCAATATAGCCTTTTTCCCTAGCGGATGTGCTCTGACACTTTATTTGGTCTACTTATTAAAAAAAAAAAAAGCGCACCACCAAAACCAACCACACATATCTGTCCTTCAGCTATTACCAAGACAGTACGTCAACCACAAACATCTTTAAAAGTCATCTTCCATAAATTTAACTAGCGGAGTACCATCTGGGTGCCAAAACCCACCTAGCAAAAAGCACAAAGACCTCTACCCAGGACTTATCCGGCCCATTTCTATGGTAATCTAAAGGCAGCAAATTCAACGCGGTAAGTGTACTGACAGAAGCAACACGCGTATCGACAAAGAACAAGGGATACTTGTGCTCCCAGCCTCTGCCAGGGGCACGCTCCAGCCCTGCCGGCAGAAAAGACGCCAGCTCGCATTCTGAGCAAACCTGTTGGCCGTGCACCTGGTTCCGAGGGGTAAGATGCACCGTCATTCCCCCAAAACGCACCCGTGACCGGACCGACTCTCTAACCGCAGGGCTTTCGCCTCCCTTGTTTATCTGCTTTCCGAGCGGCGGAGAATACGCGCAGGAGCCGGCGGGGGCAGGGGGGGGGGGGAGGGGAAACCCCGCGCCCCTTCCCCCCCCCCCCCCCCCGCCCCGCGGTGCGCGGACGCTGCTCCGGGGCGGCCGGCGAGGGCACGCACCCGGGCGGACACAAACACGCGCGGGGTCAGATGTCAGTCGCGCGGCGGGGAGCCGGTCACACGCGCTGCTGGCGCGGGGACGCATCGCACGGACCCCGCCTCGGAGGGGGCGAGGGGCTGGCGTGGGGCACGCCGGGCTCCGCCGCGCCGGTGGCGGGGGGGGCACAGGAGTCTCCCGCCGGGAGCCCGCCGTAACACCCGCTCCTCCCCTCCCCCCAAACCCCTCTCCTCCAGCCCCGGGCGGCACCGACGCACCGACCTTCGGCGGCCGGGAAGCGTCCCCCCGCCACCGCCTGCCTCCTCCTGGGCCGAGGCCGCCATTGGGCCGGCCGGGAGGAGCTCGGCGGGCGAGGCCGGCTCCGGGAGAAACGGGAAGGCGAAGGGAGGGGAGGAAGGGAACCCACCACACCCCACCGGGCCGGCCCCGTCCTCACCGGCCCAGCCCAAGCTGGCAACTTACTGCCTGCAGCGGCGGCGTCTCCTCGGGCCGCCGCGCCCCGCGCCGCCCCCCGCATGGGCAGCGCCCGCCGCGACTGCCCTCGGGAGCGGCGGCGGGAAGGGAGGGAAAGGGTCGAAGACCCCAGCGGGAGCAGCGGGGAACCCCGGCTGACCGGCGGCGAGCCCCGCCCCGCGCCTGCCTGCCCGCCGGGCGCTCCG